ACGATGAAAAAACTAAAATGGTAAATTTCCAATAGTTAATAATCGCATAAAGGGAATTCTACAAGACATTGTATTTATTCACTTTTGATGCATTTGTCTCTTAATAAATCATGATTTGTTTCTATATACTATGAAAAATTATTTTTAAAAAATATAATAAAAATAATACTGATTTTAATTCATTGTATTTGGGTATTTCTCATATGTATATATATATACATACTTTTTAATTATTAATAAATGAATAGTTTATTTTTAAAAAATAAATCTTTATGTGATATTCAAATAGTTACTTACTTTAGCGTGATAATTACCTTAATTATTAATTATTGGTCATTAAAATTCATGTACAATACATTTCTATTTAGGGATAGATATTACCTCTTTTTTTTTTCTTTTAAGGGAACAATATCAAAAAATTGACAAGTAATAACATTAAATTATAACATCTTTTTAAATATATTTAATTGGCCAAATAACATTGTTTATATTAGAGATGACAGTAATACATATTTGGAATAAATTTTACGAAATTCGAATCAAACCTCCTCCTATAAAAAGTAAATTCCTTTTTTAATTCTTTAAATTTGGTCCAATTTACAGGTTATTTGATTCAAAATTGACATGATCATTTTATAATATTAATATAAATATAAATATATCTATATTAAGAAAAAACTTAAAAATATATTTACTAATAATAATATATACTAATTATATTTATCCCTACAAATATGACTATATTCACTATTATACTATAATTAGTATTATAAATATAAATATATCTATAATGATAAAAAAATTAAATATACAAAAATTAATCCAAAAATATATAGATTAAATAAAAAAACTTCCAACTTAATGGGTTAGTGGAAATCATAATTATTTATTCTCAATAAAAACATGTGTGTGTGTGTGTGTGTGTATATATATATGTATATTCCTTTTTTATTGTTAATTCACCATGTTTGGTTTTGTGAAAAAATGACTATAGGGTACTAATTTAATAATTTGATTATATTTATTAATTAAATATATATATATATGTAAAGAAATATTTTTTTATATTTTTTTTAAACAATAAATGATTTTAATTATGAAATTCGTACTTTATATTTGTATAATATAATAGCATTTAAATTTACTTTTTTTTTGGGGAAAATATAATTGATTGCTATATATAAAATGAATTTATTTAATAATTAAATCTTAATCGGGATAATAAGTTTTTAACCGAATGGTCAAAAGTAAACACGTTAATTTCATGGAAATTTCGGAGAGTTCCAGCTCATCATAAGTCACACACTATTTAATTTAATTTTTTTAAGGAAGACTTTTTGAAGTCAAACAAAAACGTCACCGTTTTGGTGTTCGTTCACAATCTCTCTCGTTCACATTTGATTTGTGCCTTTAAATAGCGAACAAAAATTCAAAAACCACACCGTCTTCTTCCTAGAGAAGAATTACCTTACATTCTCTCTGGGGTGTACCGGTGAAGGAAGAAGGCAGCCATGAGAATTCAAGATCCAGCCACGCACAACAACAACAACGATTCCTCTAAGAATTCCTCTGTTAGTCTCCCTAATTTGTCTCTCTCTCTCTCTTTTTTCTTTTTATAAATATATATATATATATACATGTATGTATCTGCCTGTCTTTCGTCTGCTTCTGTGTTCTAACGTGCGTATGTATATGTGTACGTATTGATTTTGAATGGAGCACTCTCTCTCTCTCTCTCTCTCTCTCTCTCTCTCTCTGTGTCTTTTCAATTTTACGTTCGGAGAATCTCTCCAATTTTGTTGGAGAATCATTTGGTATCTCTTTTGCTTTTATCTCTTTCCGTTTCCTCCTTTTCATGTTTGTCTTGTTCGATTGAACGAACATCTTTTTCTCCTGATTCCAATTGAATTTTTTATTCGAAAAAGTAATAATCCAACGAGTTTTCCTAACGCTTGAATCCTATCAAACCAGATTAATTGCTTTTGATCACTTGTTTTTCCGATGATAAATTATTTTGATTAAAAGTAATAAATTATCTTTGTCTTGTTCGATTGAACAAACGCCTTTTTCCTGATTTCGATTTGATTTTTTACTTGAAAAAATAATAACTCCAATGAGCTTTTGAACGTTTGAATCCTATCAAGCCAGATTAATTACTTCTTTTGATAACTTATTTTCGCCAATGAATTAATTTGAAACATTAGTTAAATTATTTTTATAAAAAGTAATAAATTATTTTCTATGTACGAAAAAGGGGAAAAAATATTTTGTTGCTTCAAATGAATTTTCTGATTCAATGAATTGTTTGCCGAACAAACCCTTGACTTTTCACATTAAATATTCATGAATCATGAGATATTATTTATGCTTCCCCATAAATAAATAAATAAAAATAGAAACCTTTTTCTTTGTGCCATCCACTTTCCATACCATGATATTCATGCATGCACATATACATGTGTATATAGAATGTGTATGTACATGCATACAAACGCATATATATATATGTATATATATAACTAGCCGGCTCTTGGTATTTTTTAAGGATAAACTTCTAACCGAGTTTTTACTTTTTTAAGGAGTAGGTAAATCAAATGTTTAATTATTTTCATTATTCACTAAACGACACCGTTTAGACCTTCTACAACCTACAAATCCATGTGCAGGCGCACACGGAACATGGTTATTTTTTTTCTTATCCTTTTGTTAATAACGTCAAAGGAAAATTAAGGTCATGAAAGCTGCTTATTTAGATGGATTAGAGATTTTCTGTCCAACGGTCACTTTTTTTTTCAGCCATTTAAAGATAAATTATTAAATTAGTTTTAATTTTATGGTTATTATAATTTATTTGTTAGTATTTTTTATTATAGTTTAATTATTAAATAAATTTAATATTTATTTTTTAAGTTTTTGATAAAAAATTAAAATAATTAGACTTTTAAAAAATTATTTAAAAGAATAATTAATTAATTAAGTTAATTAACATATTAATTTAGTTTATTAATCAAAATTATTATTTTTAAATATTTAAATATGATTTAATTATTTTGATTTTTTATGTTAAGAAATAGAATAAAACTAAATATTTAATATAAATAAATCATGTTAAGAACTAAATTATATAAAAAAAAAATTATGAACTAAGTTATAACAAATGTCATCTGCGCTTTTTTAAAATCACAAATCTCATTGTTTATATAAATATATGTGTATATATATATAAGAAATTATCTATTTATGTTTTAATAATTTGAATTATATATAAATATAAGTATGATTAATGATAGAAACTGTATTGTTTTTTATTTAAATTATGTGCTTGCATGATGTGCACCGTAGAATCAAGAAATTATTGTGTTGAAAAAACCAGCAATTTAGGTGATAGTTGACAAAGCTTCCTTGAAAACTTTTGGGTTTCCACATATTCATATTTACCATATGTTACATTTTCATTCACTCTAGTTTGGTTTTATTAATTACTATGTAATTAATTTAACATTATTTTGCAAAGGTGTTGATAATTAAATTGTTGGTCAACTAAAAAAATTGAAAATCTTCACATCATAAAGTCAAAAATTAGTATGAGTATATTGAATATCATATAAAAAATCAGTATATATGCATATATAATATTATAACAAAAGTTTATAATATTTTTAAATTGTAACCTTGTCATTGTAGAATATAAAAATAAAAAATATATATTTTTAAAAAAATTCATATCTATGATTGCGTAGTATTAAAACAATATGAAAAATGTTTATTTTTATTGATTTAACTGTATTTAGATTCATAAATTTAATTACTGAAATATATATATATGTAACATAATAAATAAATTTTCAGAAAAAAATAAAGGAACTTGACATAATAATTTTTTATAAGAAAAATATTAGACAATAAGTAGAAGTAAATATAGTAAAAAAATAAAAATAAATCTAACAAATAGAAATAAAGAAATATAAGGGAATGCCTAATTTTTCACCATCATATAACAGAGAATTTGCCCACTCTTCTTTTTGGCTAACACTGTTCTACTATGTATATATATGTATGTATTGGAAGTTGTAAGCATTGTGTCTACTGTATTTGTTTGAAGTAATTGTTTTTTTTTTCTCAACTTCAAATTTTAAGTATTAGCAAATATAAAAATGATGATAATGATGAAGAACTCTTTTGATGATCAATCACAGATTGATGAAAAACTAGCAAGGCAGAAGGCAATAGATGACTGGCTTCCAATTACTTCTTCAAGGAATGCAAAATGGTGGTACTCAGCCTTCCACAATGTCACGGCCATGGTTGGAGCCGGTGTCCTCGGTCTCCCCTTTGCCATGTCCGAGCTCGGATGGTAAATGATTCAAAAATATACATTTTCATAAGTTTAAAACATCCTTCGTCATCACTCTAATTATTTTTTAAAAAATTATATGTTATAATATTTTATTTTCAAAAAATTATTTATCAGTAAATCTTGAGATAAATTATAAATTTTACAAAAAATAAGATTGTAATACTGCATTTGATTTAAATTTAATTTATTTTTATTTTATTTTTAAATTTCTCAATTATTTAAAAAAAAAGAACAAATATAAAATCTGTATCAACCTCAACTGTCATATTAGTTTGTACAAAAAAATTTAGATTCTTTCAAATTTTCCTTATTCACGTGAATATTGAAATCTCATTATATATTTTTTATGAGTGTAAATTAAGTATTATAAGTAGATTATTTCCGATTGTTTAATTATTTGATAACCAGATTAATTCTTTGATAAATGATCACTGTAAGTCAGTCTGACTCAATATAGTTTGACCATTTTTTTTTTTTTGTTAACGTAAAGACTGAATTAATAATTTTTTTTTTATCATCAATCAAATCATTATTCACAATTTAAAGTACTATTTTTGTATCAGTTGAATCATTGTCCACTTTTTTTTTCTTATCAATGAATAGATCTCTTGATTTGTATAACTTAAATGTCTGAATTTGGTATAATACTTATAGGATCGATGACACCAATGAAATTGATTTACATATTTGTATGGTCTTTCAGGGGTCCTGGTGTGGTAGTATTAATCTTATCATGGATTATTACTCTGTATACTCTCTGGCAGATGGTGGAGATGCACGAAATGGTGCCTGGCCGGAGGTTTGACAGGTACCATGAACTGGGCCAATATGCTTTTGGCGAGAAGCTTGGTTTGTACATTGTGGTACCACAGCAGCTTGTGGTTGAGATCGGTGTATGTATAGTCTATATGGTCACAGGAGGAAAATCACTCAAAAAATTTCATGATCTTGTTTGTCCTGACTGCAAGAAGATCAAACTCACCTTCTTCATCATGATCTTTGCCTCTGTCCATTTTGTCCTCTCCCATCTCCCTAACTTCAACTCTATCTCTGGCGTCTCATTGGCTGCTGCAGTCATGTCCTTGAGGTAACGATTATCACCCCTTAATCATTACTTTCTCATTGTGTCAAACAATCGATTGTAATTATACCCACAAAACATTTTAGATAATTTATACATTCTTTTATTTATAAGAAGTTATATGTTCGAAATAGACTTATATTAATATGTTTTCATTTGCAGATTGTTTTCTGTTGTGTTATAATTACTGTTTATATATTACATAATTGATTAATATACAAATTTATACAGAAAAACAAAAACAATAATGGAAAACAATGTTGTTGATATTGTCATTTTTCTTTTGTAGTTATTCTACTATTGCTTGGGCAGCCTCAACAGCCAAGGGTGTGCAAGAAAATGTGGAGTATGGATATAGAGCAACAACACCAGCGGGAACTGTATTCAACTTCTTCAGTGCTCTTGGCGATGTTGCGTTCGCCTATGCTGGACACAATGTTGTTCTCGAAATCCAAGCAACAATCCCATCAACGCCTGAGAAGCCATCAAAGGGACCGATGTGGAGAGGTGTTGTTGTTGCTTACATTGTTGTTGCTTTGTGCTACTTCCCTGTTGCTCTAGTTGGCTACTGGATGTTCGGAAATTCTGTTTCCGATAACATTTTAATCTCATTGGAGAAGCCTGTTTGGCTTATTGCTCTCGCCAACATGTTCGTTGTTGTCCATGTTATCGGTAGTTACCAGGTAAAGATCCTAAATTTTTCTCCATTTTCTGTCAGATTTTGGTTAATTACTCATCAGATTCTGCTCCAGATATATGCTATGCCAGTGTTTGACATGATGGAGACTTTACTGGTCAAGAAGCTGCATTTCCGGCCCACCAGACTTCTTCGTTTCATCGTCCGGAATATCTATGTTGGTAAGTAATACTCCTTTTTCCATCATGATTGATACAGTTTACACCATTGAATAACTAAAATTCAACTGAGATGTATGCTTATTTTCTTTCTTGTAGCTTTTACAATGTTCGTTGGTATTATCTTCCCCTTTTTCGGAGGCCTTCTTGCATTCTTTGGCGGATTTGCTTTTGCCCCAACAACATATTTTGTAAGCCAATATCTACTTTCATCTAATCATTTACGTTGCAATTGAGTTTGATTCAAACTTGGATACTTAAATCTGTCTTTTTTCCGATTCAGCTCCCTTGCATTATGTGGCTTGCAATCTACAAACCAAGGAGGTACAGCTTGTCCTGGTGGACAAACTGGGTAAGTTTAATTACTTCTTTTTTCATTCTTCATTGATTTCTTGATTTTTTATTCAAGCCCTATTTGAGACATCCCAAAATATGCTAAACCGCCCTCAATATTTTTTTTTTGAACACGTTATGTATGATATTTTCTCAAACAGAAAAATTACGATTTTCAAGTAATATTTATTTAGTGTATCATATCTGATGGAACTGTTTAATACTATATTTGATGACTTGCAAATTTAATATTATATTATACTGTATTTACATTGTCTAATTTTATAATGCTATCAAATGTTATTTTAATTATTAAGTTAAAATCCCCTACATGATTAGAGATCTAACTGATTCTTTTACTGTCTCCATTTAACGTATACAGATCTGCATCGTGCTCGGATTTGCATTGATGATCGTGTCGCCAATCGGAGGATTAAGGACAATCATCCTACAAGCCAGGCACTATGAGTTCTTCTCTTGATTGTCTCAACAAATGTACATGACGGTGAGTAATCGGGGGGATCGTAAAAGAACACAAGAAACAGGAAGAGAATAGGAAAGATTGTTTTTTTTGGACAAGATTAATTACAGGGTTTTTCTGGATCATTTGTACCTTTCCTATTTATGTAAGGGGAAACTGGAAAAATTTTCTTCACATGGTTGCTGATTTTCTCTATGTATTAGTTTACTTATCGTGTGCATATATATATATATACATATACATATACATATTTTTATATATTGAGGTAAGATTCTGCCCAATTTTGCTTTGTGTTTGCTGTTGATGAATCTCTTATTAAGTTTTGGTTGACAGAATCTGCATCACTAGTTTTTTCTTATTCTGAGACGGATATAACACAAGATGCAAAACTCCGAGTCGTCAACTCTAAAAATGTTCTGCAATTAAAGTTGGATGTTTTTAATGCATACTCACTACTTATTTGATCTTTCATAACTTATTTATGAAAATTAAAAGTTATATGTATTTTTTTTTTTTTTTTTTGGTCCATTCTCGACAGACGTAGACGTGTATAAGCATACTTCTATTAGATGCATATAAGTTAATATATATATATATATACTTTTTTCATATAATAAATAGACAACCTAATTTTGTATTCATTGAACTGATGGCATTTAATAATTTTATTTAATCAGGTAGCTTCTTTGAATTATTTAATGTCAGTTGAGATATTTTATATATTAAATACAAGTTTTTATTTATTTTTGAGAAATGGCTGTCAGTTTTTGGGTAAGTATTAATTGACCTGAAAAGAAGATACAAACAATCTGACTCTTTCCTTTCTATTTCCAGGCCTGCAACATTTATTATTACCTGAAAATAAAAACAAATATATTATTTCTGATGTTAAAAACATTAAATATGGTTTCTGTAATTATCTTTTTTTCTGCAAAAAAAATTAATTTATAATGTCTCCATCAAAGAGGAATCAAATTATTTATAATATAGTTCTATTTTTTTGTAATTATAAAGTGTGGCATATTAAACAATACGATTTATTAATTAGTTAAAATTTATTTTTTAAAATGTCCAAATATTATTTTATTTTTTTTCCGTTAGAAGATAAAATAAAATTGGACACCTAAAACAAATAAAGAACATTAGACATCAAATTATAACTCAAAAAAAAAGAAAAATTATAAACTAAAATATTACAAGTGTCAAATTTCAAGAGGTAATTTAATAATTTATGTTTATATAATTAGATACTTCATCTCACCTACGATCATAATTTTAAATCAACAAGGAAGGGAATAATAAGGACAAATTAGATGAGCAATGCCAATCAAAAGCCCTTGCTAATTAAATACATTATGCTTTGTTCCTCGAATAATATATATATATATATATATATTATGCTTTGTGTCCAAAGATTCATTGGAATGTCATTATTGATAACATTCTTATGCTCTCGACGTTTGCTCCTCGAGGCGGATTTCCCTTGGCATGAATAGTTAACCCCTATGTTTTCTGTTTTCCATGAAATTTCCTTTTTCTTAACATATATATATATATATACACACATATACATTCGTATATGTATACTTCATCGGCCGCTCCATTATATGTATTAGTTCACATTCTCTTCTCTCCACAGACGACGTGCAGAGAGCTTGTGTGCAACATCAATGGGAACTGAACCTCCTGCTGCTCCTGATCAAAACTCTGAAACCCAAAGCAATGTCACAAGTGTAAGTCCTTATATCTATTTACACGTGCAACTCCGCTGACAAGATCGAGTTTTATGATGTTTCCGAGTTTTTCACGTTGGTTTCATTTGTTTGACAAACAGTTTTGAATTCGAAATACATAGTTTTCTAACAATAGATTTGAGTCTTGAATCCGTGAATAAAGATTTCACGATGAGTGAAACTTTCTTTAGTATTGAACCCTTGCTCCGTGAATCATTTCTCATCACACCTTCGGACTTGTTATAACAATATATACATATATATATATGTCATCATGAAACTACTTTGTCGTTTTTTTTTTCTTGAATAGTGAATTTGAGAGATTATGGAGAGGGTTTTTGTGAATGACAGAATATTGAAGAGAAACTAGCAAAGCAGAAGGAAATTGATGACTGGCTTCCAATCACTTCTTCAAGAAATGCAAAGTGGTGGTACTCAGCTTTCCACAATGTTACAGCCATGGTTGGTGCTGGCGTCCTCAGTCTTCCTTACGCCATGTCCAATCTTGGATGGTATAATATATATATATATATACACACACACACACACATACCCTCACTCTTCATTTACACTTGACTGTACACAATCATTTTTCACAACCTACTTTGTCATACCATCATGTAGATTTATTCGTAAAGTTTTCTGAGCGAAACAGTCAACTAATTACATATTTACCTTCGATTCTACAACTATGAATTTATAATTTCACTTGTTAAAAGCATGACCTTAGAAACATCGTACTTAAATTTGATATAAAATTTACTTAGGATGTTATTATCATATAAATGTAAATCCTGTTTGTATCAATCGCTAGTTCCTATTTAATAAAATTAAAATTCAAGCGAGATTTTCACGAAATTTCAGGGGTTCAGGTGTAATAATTCTGATCCTACCATGGGTAATAACCCTATAAAAATGTACTTAAAATGTTATTATCATTCAAATATATATCCTATTTGTATCAAACTCTAATTCTTATTGAATAGAAGTAAAATCTAAAGGAGATTTTCACGAAACTTCAGGGGTCCGGGTGTCGTAATTCTGACCCTATCATGGGTAACAACTCTATACACTCTATGGCAAATGGTGGAGATGCATGAGATGATTCCAGATAGAAGATTTGATAGGTACCATGAACTGGGTCAGTATGCCTTTGGTGAAAAGCTAGGGCTATACATAGTGGTGCCCCAACAGCTGATCTGTGAGGTTGGTGTTGACATTGTCTATATGGTCACTGGTGGGAAATCACTACAGAAGATTCATAACCTTGTTTGTAAAGGTTGCAAAGAGATCAAAACAACTTACTTCATCATGATCTTTGCTTCTGTTCACTTTGTTCTCTCTCACCTCCCGAATTTCAATTCCATTTCGGGTGTGTCTTTGGCTGCAGCCGTCATGTCTGTCAGGTATATTTCTTATTTTCTTACCCGTAAACAATTCCTCTCAATAATTTTAAGTATCGAGACACAATATATATGTATCATAATCGGACAGTACTAACTTAAGAGTCAAACTATAAATAAATCCATGTCAATATCTAACTCAAAACTTCAACAATATGGTTATATAAGTACAATTCCCCAACAGTACGTCGTATAGATACCATACTTGTTGATGCAGGATTAGTATCCTTTAATATCTCTATCTTGGTTATGAAACTATATTACATTATAAGTTGTCGCAAGTTTTCCAAAAACACTAAGTAAAAAATGATAAATCTATTACCTGTGTTGTTTTACGGCTCTCTTACGCAGTATAATTCTGTGCATGAACCAGACAAAACACAAGCAGAAGAAGACGCTTGAAACTAGGATCTTAACCTCTAATGACATGTTAGATTCTAACTGGAAACTATATGATATAGGGAGAGTGGTCCCTAAGATAAACAAGGAAATTACAGCTCCAAGTATTGTGTGGAACTAACATTCCTTAAAATAAAAATGACCAGCTAATTTCATTTTGTTTCATTGAGTTTCGTATATGCAGCTACTCAACCATTGCTTGGACGGCTTCAGTTCACAAGGGTGTCCAACCAGATGTTCAATATGGCTACAAAGGCAAAGATGCAACAGATACAGTGTTTAATTTCTTCACTGCAATGGGAGATGTGGCATTTGCCTATGCAGGCCATAATGTGGTCCTGGAGATTCAGGCGACAATACCCTCCACGCCAGAGAGGAAATCAAAAGGACCCATGTGGAAAGGAGTGCTTGTGGCCTATATTATTGTGGCCTTCTGCTACTTCCCTGTTGCCCTAATTGGGTATTGGATGTTTGGCAACAATGTCGAAGATAACGTCCTTATCTCCTTGGAGAAACCTACATGGCTTATTGTGGCTGCTAACTTGTTTGTTGTCATCCATGTTATTGGAAGCTACCAGGTTGTGGTTCGTTTAGGATTTTGTTCTTGTTTCCACAAGTTAATGAATATGTAACATGTTTCCTGATTCCAGTTTCCACTTGTTTTTACTCCTCACAGGTATACGCAATGCCGGTTTTTGACATGATAGAGACTGTTCTGGTAAAGAAATTGCATTTCCGACCCACTAGATTGCTTCGTTTTGTCTCTCGCAATATATATGTTGGTAAGCAAACATATACTAACTCGATTAAAATCAATCTACCCTATTGTACCGTTAAGATTGGAACTTAGTGCCGTATGAGATAATAGCTCCTAATCTAATACTGTATCACCTATCAAGTCACCTCTATGATCCTTAATTATGTCATGAAGGTTCAAAAGAACAAAATTCTATATTTTGGAGCAGCTCTTATTCGCCAAAAGATATAATTTGGCTTTCTAATTTCAGCACTCACAATGTTTGTGGCCATTTCTTTCCCTTTCTTTGGTGGTCTTCTTGGATTCTTTGGAGGATTTGCTTTTGCCCCAACAACATATTTTGTAAGTCTAATCTATGGTTGCTTAATTTTAGCACAATGAACTACCCTATGACTAATATAGACTTCAGAAAATTTGCTAATAAAATCTAATCCTACCATTCAGCTTCCTTGCATCATGTGGCTTGCCGTCTACAAACCACCGAAGTTTGGCTTATCTTGGATTACCAACTGGGTATGTTTGGCATAAATAATAATCAATCTCTGCAAACAGAAAAGTCAACCAATGAAATCTAATATCTTTACTTTGTCAAATTTCAGATCTGCATTATACTAAGCCTCTTGTTGATTGATTCTGTCACCCCATTGGAGGGCTAAGGAATATCATACTTCAAAGGCAAGGACTACAGTTATACTCTCTAAACATCAGTCATCTGCAGACCCAGCAATTCGCTCCCTAATTTCAACATAA